CCCAACAACCCCAACCCCCCCAAAAAAAAACCAAACCCCAACCCCCCTCCCCCAACCCCCCCCCAAAACCCAAACCCCCCAACCCCCCCCCCCCCCAAAAAACCCCGGGGCCCCCCCCCCAAAAAACCCCCAAAGGAAAACCCCCAACCCGGAACCCAAAAAAACCCGGAAAACCCCCCCCCCCCCCGCAACCCAAAACCCAAAAACCCCAAAACCCCCCCCCCCAAACCCCCCCCAAAAAAACCCCCCCCCCCCCCAAAAACCCAAAAAAAAAAACCCAAACCCCAACCGGGCCCCCCCGAAAAAACCCCCCCAAAAAACCCCCCCCCCCGGGCCCCCCCCCCCCGGGGGCCCCCCCCCCCAACCCCCCAAAAACCCCCCCAAAAAAAAACCCCCAAAAAAACGCGAACCCGAAAAAAACCCCCCCCCCAACCCCCAAAACCCCCCCCCCAACCCCAACCCGGGGCCCCCGGCCCCCAAAAACCCGGAACCGGAAAAACCCCCCCCGGGGGGGCCCCCCCGAAACCCCCGGAAAACCCCCCCGGGGGGGCCCCCCCCCCGGCCCCCCCCAAAACGCGAACCCGCAAAACCCCAAAAAAACCCCCCCCAAAACCCAAAAAAACCCCCCCCCCGAAAAAAAAAACCCCCAAACCCCCGGGGGCCCCCCCCCCCGCCCCCCAACCCAAGGGAACCCCCCCAAAACCCCCAAAACCCCAAACCCAAAACCCCCCCCAACCCCCCCCCAAAACCCCCCCCCCCCTTTAAAAAAACCCAACTCTAACTCAACCCTAACCCAACCCTAAACCCCAAAAACCCCCCCCCCCCCCCCCCCCCCCCCCCCCCTTTTTTAACCCCCCCCCCCCCCCAACCCCAAAAACTCTAAACCCCCCCTAAACCCCCCTTCCCCCCCCCAAAAATTTTCCCCCCCCCCCCTTTAAAAATTTTTAAAAAAAAAGGGCCAAACTAAAACCCAAAAGGGGGGGAAAAAAAAAACCCCCCTTTAAAATTTTAAATTTTGGAAAAAAAAAAAACCCCCCTTAACCCCCCCCCTTTTTTTTTGGGGGGGAAAAATTTTTGTTGGGTTTTAAAAAAAAACCCCCGGGGGGGGGAAAAAACCCCGGGTTTTCCCAAGGAAAAGGGAAAAATTCCTTTTTTGTTTTAAAAAAATTTTTTTCCCCCCTTTTTTTTGGGGGGGGGAATTTTTAAAAAATTCCCCAAAACCCGGGGGGGTTTTTTTTGGGGAAAAATTTTTCCCCGGTTTCTTTAAAAAAAACCCGGGGGGGGTTTTTAAAGGTTTTGAAAAAAAAATTTTAAAAAAATTTTTTGGGGGGGGTTTAAAGGGGGGGGGGAAAAAATTTGGGGTTTTAAAAAATCCGGGCCGGGGCCCGGGGGGGGGAAAAAAAAAGGGGGGAAAAAAAAAAAAAAAAAATGGAAAAAGGGGGTTTTTAAAGGGGGAAAAAAAAAACAAAAATTAAAAAAAAAAAAAGGGTTTTGGGGGGTTTAAAAATTTTTTTTAAGGGGGGGTTTGGGGGGGGGGGGGTTGGGGTTTTGGGGGGGTTTTTTTAAAGGGGGGGGGGGAAGGAAGGATTAAATTTTTTTGGGGGGGGGGCTTTGGGGGGGGAAAAAAACCCCCAAAAATTGGGGGGGAAAAATTTTTGTGTTGGGGGTAAGGGGGGGGGGGTTTGTGGGGTTTTGGGGGGGGGGTTTTTTGGGGGGGGGGGGGGAAAAAAAAAAATTTTTTTTTTTTTTTTAAAAAAATGGGGTTTTTTAAAAAAAAAAAACCCCCCCCCCCGTTTTTTGGGGGGGGGGTTTAAAAAATTTTTTGGGGGGTTTTTTTTGAATTTTTTTTTTTTTGGGGGAAGGGGGGGGGGGTAAAAAAGGGGGGGGTTTTAAAAAAAAAAACCCAAAAAGGGCCCCCCAAATTTTCAAAAATCCTTTAAAAAAAAAAAACTGGCCCAAACCCGGTTTTAAAAAAGGAAAAAAAAAAAAAATTTTTTTAAAAAAAACCCCTTTTTTTTTTTGGGGGGGGGGGGGGGGGGCCAAAAACCCCAAACGGGGGGGAAAAAAAAAAACCCCCCCTTTTCCCCCCCCCCCCCCGGGGGGGAGAAAAATTTTTTAAACCCCCCCCCCAAAAACCCCAGGTACCGAGTCCATGTGCAGGGGTACCAGGTAATAACATGTCTATCAGGGAGTACCGGTACCGAGTCCATGTGCAGGGGTACGAGGTATTTGAGGTAGATATGTACATATAGGTAGGGGTAAAGTGACTAGGCAACAGGATAGATAATAGACAGTAGCAGCAGTATACTGTAGGTAGGGGTAAAGTGACTAGACAACAGGATAGATAATAGACAGTAGCAGCAGTGTGTGTGTGTATGTATGTAGTGTGTGTGTATGTAGTGTGTGTGTGTGTGTATGTAGTGTGTGTGTGTGTGTGTGTGTGTGTGTGTGTGTGTGTGTATGTAGTGTGTGTGTATGGATGTAGTGTGTGTGTATGTAGTGTATGTAGTGTGTGTGTGTATGTAGTGTGTGTCATTGCAGGTAGTCCAGGACTCCGATTAGCTATTTAGCAGTCTGTGTGTGTGGCGTCAATATACGTGTGTGTTGGGGTGTAAGTGAGTGTGTGGGGTGTGTGTGGGTAGAGTCCAGTGTGTGTGTGTGTGGGTAGAGTCCAGTGCAAGAGTTAGTGCAAAAACAACACACACACACACACGGTGCAGTGCCAGGTAATAGCTCTCACTGGAACCAATCAATAAAACAATCAATCCATCAACCAACTGTAACCACCTGTTAACCGTTTCAGACAGAGTGCACTTACAAAGATAAATTGCCATGTTTTAAATACTGATATTTCTGTTTTGATTGGTGGTGAACGTGTGCGAGGCAGGCGCTGCAGGATCGCATCGATGAGCTTCAAGCAGAGCTTCAGGAGTACCACAACTTGGGCCGCACCTCTCAGCCCTGTCTCAAACCCTCTCTCTCTGAGGACCTGGAGAGCAAGAGTCCTGGCGTGGAGTCAGACCCAGGTACGTAGAAATACAAAAAAAAACATTTAATCAAATGTATTTTATAAAGCCCTTTTCGCATCAGCAGTTTTGACAAAGGGCTTTACCGATACCCGGCCTAAAACTCCAAAGAGCGATGCGGAGGCAGAAATAGAACACAACGTAGGTTCCGTTCCAAATGTCACCCTGTGACGGTAAGTATCACTGTAAAAAAGGAGTAGAATACAGCCACTATCATATCCCCGCACCCATATCCCATCCTCTCTGAAAGCCATCCAATATACAGTGTTTAGGGGGATCTGTTTTGAGCAAGGCAAGATGGAGAATCGCTAAATCTTGATCACTTAATGAGTAGTTATTTGGGATGCAATGTGATATGTAGATCAGTGATTCTGGCCGGTCAACTGCAAGTTAGTCAAAGAAGCACATTGATTAGCTGAGGAACAGGAGAGAGACAGAGAGCACACCATTATCTTGTTAGTTGTTCTTGGACTCCATCCTCATCTGTCATCCTTCCAGTACAGCCAGTAGAGGACTGGCCACCCCTCTGAGCCTGGTTCCTCTCTAGGTTTCTTCCTAGGTTCCTGCCTTCAAGGGAGTTTTTCCTAGCCACTGTATTTGTATTTATTATGGATCCCCATTAGTTCCTGCCAAGGCAGCAGCTACTCTTCCTGGGGTTTATTATGGATCCCCATTAGTTCCTGCCAAGGCAGCAGCTACTCTTCCTGGGGTTTATTATGGATCGTCATTAGTTCCTGCCAAGGCAGCAGCTACTCTTCCTGGGGTCCAGCAAAATTAAGGCAGTTATACAATTTTAAAAACATTACAATACATTCATTACAGAATTCACAACACACTAAGGCGCACAGTGCCTGTGCCTGTGTTTGTGTTGCTTCACAGTCCCCGCTGTTCCATAAGGTGTATTTTTATCTGTTTTCTAAATCTGATTCTACTGCTTGCATCAGTTACCTGATGTGGAATAGAGTTCCATGTAGTCATGGCTCTATGTAGTACTGTGCGCCTCCCATAGTCTGTTCTGGACTTGGGGGACTGTGAAGAGACCTCTGGTGGCACTGTGATTCTGCTTCTGCATTGACTGCTCTTTGGGGGTTTTAGGCTGGGAATCTGTATAGCACTTTGTGACAACTGCAGATTTTTTTAAAAAGGGCTTTATAAAATAAGTTTGATTTATTGAGCGTCTCCAGGCCTGGGCTCGGAGGAGGGCCAGCCGTTGTTCAACATGAGCCTGGAGGCAGAGATGATGCTGGAGCGGCTGAAAGAGAAGCACCTCCGAGAGATGGAGGATCTACAGGCTCAGCTGGAGAGCAAGGTGAGAGATTGTGTCTCCTGAGTGGCGCAGTGGTCTAAGGCATTGCAGTGCTAACTGTGCTACTAGAGATCCTGGTTCGAATCCAGGCTCTGTCGCAGCCGGCCGTGACCGGGAGACTCATGGGCGGCGCACAATTGGCCCAGCGTCGTCCAGGGTAGGGGAGGGAATGGCCGGCAGGGATGTAGCTCAGTTGATAGAGCATGGCGTTTGCAACGCCAGGGTTGTGGGTTTGATTCCCACGGGGGGCCAGTATAAAAAAAATATATGTATTCACTAACTGTAAGTCGCTCTGGATAAGAGCGTCTGCTAAATGACTAAAATGTAAATGTAAATTTAATATTCACATTTACATTTTAGTCATTTATCAGACGCTCTTATCCAGAGCGACTTACAGTTAGTGAGTGCATCCATTTTTTTCATACTGGCCCCCCGTGGGAATCGAACCCACAACCCTGGCGTTGCAAGCGCCACACTCTACCAACTGAGCTACAGGAGGGCCTGTATCTAGCAGTTGGATATCTAGCAGTTGGATATCTAGCAGTTGGATATCTAGCAGTTGGATATCTAGCAGTTGGATATCTAGCAGTGTTTCAACAGGATTCCTAAAGCACTCCATCATACTTCACTGTGCCGCGTTTACCTTCTCAGAGATTTGATGTAGCTAGATGGGGCGGTCCCACTCCTGTCGTATTGTAGTAGAGGAAGACGAGGACGGGGTCAAAGGGCTGTGGGTCGGATTCAAACCCACGCTGCTCTAACGGTTGGACCTCACAGACCACACTGTGCCATGTTTTTTGTCCCAGAGACGGATCTGATACAGCCAGATTTCCTTTTCCCCGTGTCATTGCAGGTGAGTGAGTTTGACCAGAAGGTGGAGGAGCAGAAGGCAGACCTGGAGGCCCAGAAGGCAGCCTTGTCCCTGCAGTACCTGGAGGAGATCCAGGTGTGTGCACACGTATGATTGTATATTTTGCTACTGCAGTTTATAACACACTGTAAATGCAATCTTTGAGTCGTAGAATACACTGTTTTTATAAGGTAATGTGGGCTGGGCATCCTGAAGACGCAATACACTTTAATAACCTCCTCCAGGCACTACGAGGGGAGATGTCCGGCATCCAGAACCGAGCCCTGGAGCTCCAGGCCCAGGTAGAGAATGCTGAGGAGGAGCGGGCCTGTCTGGAGCAGAGACAGGCAGGGGTGCTGGAGGAGCTGGAGCACCAGCAGGAGCAGGAGGTGAGGGGCTTTTGTGTGGCTCATTTGGTAAGGGCATGGAGCTAGCGACGCCAGCGGCGTGGGTTCGATTCCAACAGTATGAAAGTGTATGCACTCGCTGAAGTAAGTCCCTTTTTTTTTTAATTTTTATAAAAGCATCTGCCAAATGGCATATATGTAACTATTCCCCAGGTTGTTGCTGTAAATGAGAATGTGTTTTCAGTCAACTTACCTGGTAAAATAATAATGAATAAAATAATAAATGAATAAAATAATACATTAAATATATATATATATATATATATATATATATATATATATATATATATATATATTATTCTATTAGGTGAGCAGCCTGAGACAGGAGCTCCTGGAGGCTCACATCCAGGCTTCTGCCCTGGAGGAGCAGCTGAAAGTCCTGGAGGCCCAACAAGCGGAGGCCGAGCTGGGCGTGGACACGGAGATGCGGGAACTGAGGAAACTTCACGCCTTGGAACTCAACAAGCTGGACGAGCAGCACGACAAGATCCTTCAGGTCAGGCTGGAAGAAGAGCGAGGGAAGCTCCGGGAGGAGAGGGCGGAGGTGGAGAGGAGGCTGTCGGAGGAGTGGGAGAGGGAGAAGGTGGAGTTACAGCGGAGCCACGAGGAGGCGGTGAAGGCTAGGATAGAGGAGGTGGAGAGGAGGCTGTCAGAGGAGTGGGAGAGGGAGAAGGCGGAGTTACAGCGGAGCCACGAGGAGGCGGTGAAGGCTAGGATAGAGGAGGTGAGTTTGAAGTTCCAGGCAGAGCGAGAGGAGTCGGAGATGCGACTAACGGAGGAGTGGGAGAGGGAGAAGGTGGCGTTACAGCGGAGCCACGAGGAGGCGGTGAAGGCTAGGATAGAGGAGGTGGAGAGGAGGCTGTCAGAAGAGTGGGAGAGGGAGAAGGTTCAGCTGGATGAGCAGAGTAACGCGTCGCTCCAGACCATGTTAGAGGACGAGATGTTACGTCTAGTCGAGGAGCAGGAGGGTAGGGAGAGCCGTCTCGCCGAGCAGTGGGAGCTGGAACGAGTTCAGCTCCAGGAGTGTCAGGAGGAGGCGCTCCTCACCCGGTTGGCAGAGGAGAAGCTGAAGCAGCAGGAGGAGACGGAGAGGAGGCTCAGGGAGGACTGGGACAGGGAGAGACTCCAGCTGGAGAAGGACTATGAGGGGATGCTCCAGGAGCGGCTGCAAGAGCACAGGGAGAGGCTGGCGGGGGAGAAGGAGGAGCTGGAGAAGAGGCTGGAGCAGATGATGGAGGAGGAGAAGGAGTGCCTGGAGGAGGCCCACAGACAGGCTGTGCAGGAACTAAGTGCCAAACACAGCGAGGAGAGGGAACAGCTCAGCAGTCTGCTGGATAAACTGCGGGAGGATATCGCTGAGGAAAGGTAAGACTGCTTAACTGTAATGAAATCAGCTTATGTGTAAAATTTCTGTTCTTAAATGGTCCCAGCATTGTCCATGAAAACCTTAACCTTAACCATATTTACTTAATGTAGTGAACCACTTGAGAATTGTAACTACAGCTATGCTAAGAAAGTAGATTTAGGTGAGTATTTCTGAGGGTGTGGGAACTGTGGTCCATAACTCTTGCTGATTAACAATGTACAGGAAAGAACTAGAGAGCCACTTCTCCCAGAAAATCAGGGAGGTGGAGGCCCGGTTCTCAGGCGACCAGGACGCTGTCGCAGAGCGCTTCCAGACCGACGTTTCCAACCTGGAGACGCACTATCAGAGCGAGCTGAAGGCACTCACCGAGAGCCACGCTGAGCAGAAAACCAAATGGGACAAGGAGACGGAGGAAGCCCTTCAGGAAGCTGAAGAGCAGAGGAGAGTTCTGCAGGAAACCATGGAACAAGAGAGGGAGACCATCACCCAGGACCTGGTGAAAGAGAGGGAGCTGCTAGAGAGTGTCCATAAGGAAGAGATGGATGCATTGGTCGCGAAGAACCAGGAACTCCAAAAGGAGCTGGAGAGTTTCATCAGTTTAGCCCAGACCAAAGAGATCGAGCTGAGTAGGCAGCTGAACGATCTTCACAATAGGCTGCAGGAGAACCTGGACACGAAAGACGAGCTTCTGGCCCAGTCTGAGAACAAAGCCCGGGAGATGGAGCTTCTGCTGAACCAGGCAGTGGAGGACTTCAAGCAGGAGAGGGCAGAACTTCAGGGAAGCCTTTCTGAATTAGAGGCAAGGCACTCCATGGCTGCGAAGCATCTTGAGGAGAGGTGTGAGCTGCTCTCAGAACGTGATGACCTGAAGTTGAAGATCAAAGAACTGGAGAAGCTCCTGAGACAGGTGGCGGTGGACTTTCAGTTTGAGAGACTGGAGCTGCAAGAGAACGTCTCAGACCTGGAACTGAAGCTGAAGGAGAGCCGTCCTTCCTCTGACCTGCAGGACAATGAGAAAGGAGAGCTTCTGGCCGAGAGAGACCAGCTTAGTATTAGGATTCAGGAAATCGAGAACGAGCTCAACCAACTTCTAGAATCTGCAGACATAACAGAGAACAAAGAAATGGACGAATCAAATGAAGTACATTTACCACTGCTAGGAGAGGAACATCTAGAGGCTGCAGCTCTTGAAGAACAAGAAGTATATTCAGAAAACCTTACCGTTAGTGATGAGACATGTGACGACGTTGTTCCAGAGGACTGTGAAGGCCTTGACGTAGCTCCTGTGGAGCAGGGACCAAACGATGAAGTTGAGATTATTACTGAATCACCTCATGAGATGGAGAGTTCTGAAAACATAATTGCAGAAGTCTGTGATCAAGAAATACCTGTTACCTCAGACAACCTGAATGTCTTCGTAGAGGCATCTGACACCTCTGGCGAACAAGGACAAGATGACGAAGTGGAGATGATCCCTGAAACTCCAAATAGGTTACAGGAATGTCCTGAAGACACCATAACTCTTCATCTTGATGGGGCGTGTTATGATGAAACTACTGTGGGCGATGGCCAAGACCCTGTGGTCGAATCTGTTGCCGTTGGGGAGCAAGCACAAGATGGCGACGCTAGTGAGGGAGGGATGACTCCTGAATCTTCTGAGGACATTGAGGTATGTCCTGAAAACATTATCAGTGTTGAGGCATGCAACGGTGAAGTCGCTGCTATTCCAGAAGAATGCCAAGAACTTGTTGAGGAATCCCCTGAATTCCAAGGTCAGGATGTGGACAACATGGACGAAGACACTAACGATGACATGGTAGTGTTGTCCATTCCAGAGGAGCAACCTCAAAGTGACGACGTTGATGGAGATGTCTGTCTCTCTGAGATGAAGTGTGAAGTCTCTTCCCCTGATAAAATGGAACAGAATGATGCTGGTGTAGAAGAAACTGGTTTTGATGATAAGCCTGAAGAGGAGGAACTTCAAAATCATCTGTTCAATGAAGAAGTACAGGGATATGTGTCTTGGTTGTCTCTTAGCCCTAGAGGAGATAGGTCATGACACTGAGAAAGAGGCTGTGGAACTGATTCCTCAGCTGCAGCAGAAGTGTGAAGAGGCAGTGAAGGAGCGAGACGCTGTGAGATCACGGAGCTCCGGGAGCAAGGCGGTTCAGTTCCAGAGCGAGGCCAGTCGTCTGGCTCGGCTACAGAGCCAGTATGACACTGCGTGAGGAGAACCTGGCGCTACAGCAGAAGATCTCAAGAGCTTCAGCAGGAAGACTGACGCACTGGAGAGTCTTTCAGCAGAGAACGGTTGGAATGAAATACCAGCTTCCGATCAGCAATCTTTAGAGGAAAACGCACCCTCAGTGCTCAGGCCAAAGAGATCAAGGTGATGTCTTCGGATATGCCGCGCTTCAGATCAGATACGAGGAGTGATCTGTGAAAAACGCCAAGCTGGAGGAACAGAACTGTCGACTTGGAGAGAGAGTTCGGGCCTCGAGAGCAAAATGCACATCATCCAAGACTTCCAGGATCAGCAAGTAGCGTTGGTGGAACGAGATCACCAGGATGAGAGAGGAGAACTGTAAGCTGACTGATCTAGTCAGCGAGTTAGAGAGGCAGGATGAGATTCTCATGGCTCTGCAGTCTGGAGGCCGAGTCCGAGGAAGACGCCACCACAGAACAAGAACAAGAGTCCTTCCTGGACCTGAAACTCCCAACTGGAGGCTAAGATACAGGCTGTGTCGGAGCTGGAGGACTGCTGCACGGAGTTCGAGAAGCAGAACGCCAAGCTCCGCAGTGCCCTAACGGACCTGCAGGACAAGTCGCTGAGGATACATGAGAGGATGCAGACCCATAGGTAACTTGAAGGAGATGTATGATCCCGTTACCAACCCTTTGCACCTGCTGCTTTCTTAATCCCATCCCCTGCTGCGATATTGTGCTTGGCTTATTAATGCAACTTCCTCCAGCAACTTCCTCTAGCACCAGAAGTAGTGCTGTCACTGGCTGATGCAAACTTCCTGTGGCTCCAGAAGTAGTGCTGTCATTGGCTAATGCAACTTCCTGTGGCACCAGAAGTAGTGCTTTCATTGGCTAATGCAAACTTTCCTGTGGCACTAGAAGTAGTGCTTTCATTGGCTAATGCAACTTCCTGTGGCACCAGAAGTAGTGCTTTCATTGGCTAATGCAACTTCCTGTAGCACCAGAAGTAGTTGCTTTCATTGGCTAATGCAACTTCCTGTGGCACCAGAAGTAGTGCTGTCACTGGCTTATTAATGTAACCCCCTGTAGCAAGTCTGTGACGTCTATGTTCTGAAGTAGCTCTGCGATGTCAATCCTGTGACGTAATCCATCTTTCCAGTTGAAAAACTTGCCATGTGGAAACAACAGCTACAACAACCAGGCCATGTTGTGGCCATGCCACTGTACAATCCCACCCTGGTCCTATAGAAACAGCCAACTGTCCTGTCATTGGTGCATGTTGTTTGTCTGTTTGCCTTTGTGAAACTGTCCTGTCCTGTCATTGGTGCATGTTTGTGGACTATTAGAGCCCTCCGTTGATGTATGGATTTCTGCTTTATGAACACCTCAATTCATGGTTTTGTTCAATTTACTTTTATTTACTTAATTTACTCTGACATTAACAACGTTTTTTAACAAAACTCTTAAACATTATGACTACAAAACAGGAACATGTGGTGCTGGTTGTGTTTTTTTTAAATCAGCTAGCATAGAGACTGAGGTCTTCTGTTTGCTGACGTGGTTTCTTCTGTAGGAATGAGGCAGGTCGTCTAGCAGAGGAGAACCTCATACTCAGAACCAAGATCTCGATGCTGAAGGAAGAGGACCTGAGAGAGGGACCGAGGAGGAGACACTGTAAGAAACATCATGCCAACATACAATATTGAAAGCATATTCAGCCCCCGGTCCCAGCAATTTTGCCCCCCCCCCCCACCCCCACAAAACATTTCCTGGGATTTCCTGTGGTGTTACTGTATGGGTTATAGGTTCAATGTCGTTTGGGTCATATGAATTGACACTTCCCCTCTCCCCTACCTTAGCTTTGAAACTGGAGCATTTCAGGAAGGAGATAGATTGCTGCCACAAAAGAAGAAGGCAGGAGAGTTTCCAAAGACGACAGGTAAGATAAGAACTGCAGAAGGTAAACCAACTCAAATTTGACCCCTGGTAACTTGGTTCTGCTATGTGGGCTGTGTGTCCCACCCGTGCCCATTGCCAACAAGACAGCTGGTTACTAAAGGCTTGTGGTAGCCTTGATTTCAAGAAAGACCTGTAGTAGAGCAACGAGCAATAAAGAGCAAATCTAATAACTCTATGTCTGTGTCAGACATGGCACCCATTTCCCTATATAGTGCACTACTTTTTTGGCACCGGCCCTGGTCAAAAGTTAGTGCACTACGTAGGGAATAGGGTGCCATGTCTGACACAGATATTCTGAATGGAAGTAAACCAGCACAATGACATCCAGTAAGAGGCACCCACGTGAGAAAACAAGTCCTGACCTTTCACCTCAGTAAAACAAGTCCTGACCTTTCACCTCAGTAAAACAAGTCCTGACCTTTCACCTCAGTAAAACAAGTCCTGACCTTTCACCTCAGTAAAACAAGTCCTGACCTTTCACCTCAGTAAAACAGTCTTGACCTTTCACCTCAGTAAGGTGTATTATTGTGTTGTAATAAGTACAGTGCCCCTCCACTAATATTGGCACCCTGGAAATTAGCAAAAGGGCTGTGAAAAAAAAAAAAAAGTCTTTATTTTTTTCCAAAA